ATTTTTAAAAAGCTTGGTAAAAGGGCAAAGGGAAGCCTCAGGCTTATGTGACTTTCAGTTGGCCTGGCCAATGGCAATGGCACCTAGACTTATATACTGCTTCACGGTGCTTTACAGGCCTCTCTAAGTGGTTTACAGAATCAGAATATTGCCCCCAACAATCTGGGTCCTCATTGTACCCACCTCGGAAGGATGGAAGGCTGAATCAACTTTCAGCTGGTGAAAATCAAACTGTTGGCAGTCAGCAAAATTAGCCTGCTGAATTTTGACCACTGCACCACCATGCCATCTGGGATTATTTTCTACATACAGTACACTCTCTTTTTCAGAAGTGTAACCTGCCATGATATGCTTTGAAGGATTATTTTAAATAAATGCATAAATGCATAAGGATGTATTAGCTCAGTTCCTTGAGATTCCCCAAATATTTTACACGGCAGCCACTCCAAATCCTTTTCATCACGGACACTGATCAGGGATTGCAGCAGTTGGTTAGTCCAATAATCAGCTGTCTGTGTTTGACAAAGAAAACCACTGGAGTTTCCCTGACAAGTTATTAAATCCTTGTTTCTCCAGTTTGCACAGGTTAAACAGAAATGCTGGTTGTTGTTGCTGGGCCTTTCAAAGACGAGATCTTCTAAGTCCTACTGGGAAGTAGGATTATTATTACTTTTGTGCCTTGTGTGGTTGATCCTATCAACTGTAGTAATCTGTTTGTGAGTTCGCACAGGGCAATGAGAAGAGAGGAGAAATATATAAAGGCAGCAATAATATAATTTTTTTAAAGGTTGGCTCTTCCAGCAAGGTAATTTGGCCTCTGCTGAGCCAGCATTATATACTGTTGCAACAAGATTGATTTCTTAATCTCTCCCCCATCAGTAGAACAGGTATGGGCAGAAGATAGATGACAGAGTTTCTAATTCTGAATTAACACCTTGCTAAGGCTGCTGAAATGAAAAACCCTTCGATTAATCAGCAATGGACTTAGATCTCGGCTCCAGGACTGAAAAACGCCTTCCTAAATGGAGTGTTTAGTGGGACATGATTGGTTTAGCATTTGGAGCACATGATTGCTTTGTCATTCAGGAGCATTTCTTTGATTGATGCCTTCTAAGGATTAAGAAAAGACACACGAAGCAGATCTGAAGAGCTTTCCCACTCCCGGGCCAGAATTTATCATAGGACCATCATGCTGGTGCAAGAGAAACATCCGTCCTGGTCGTAAAAATCAGGTTTGGTCATGTGATGACCCGCTTAATGACAGGAATGACTCACAACTGCAATTGCAGATTCTGTTATGGTTGTGAGTTAAGGACTGCATGCAAGGTTTTCTTGACAGCATAGGAGAAACTTTCATAGATCAATCAATCTTTATTACCATGATAGGCCATCATATACTTGCAGAGAGAATGTGCTTGATTTCTCTCAAAGGCTGAGCCAAAATGATGTCTCTTCACACTTCTAGCACATACAATGAGATCCGGGGGGTGGCCTGGTACGCATCAATAAACCTATGGCATTATGGAAGCATTTGCTAAAGAATTTCTATAACCCAATATGAGGCTTTGGATGGCTATGGGTTTTCTGGGGATAATTGTAAATGGCCTTATCAGATGGATTTTGGGAGCACTTTATCATAAAATCTGCCCACAATTTCATTCAGGAAAGAAGCCTTTCATCAAAAACCAGGTGAGTGGCCATAAACCTGAAAGCAAGTTGCTCAAAGCCAGAGTTTCCAATGGAATTCAAGGCTGCCGTGCTTGCAATGAAATCATTTCTACTGCCTGATATTGTCCAAAGAGTCACTTTCTGTGGGAATGTTGGGATTTGGGTAAAAGCAGCCCAACGTTTCTTGATAATAGTTTGTCCTTCCTAAAACACTGTCGGGGTTTTCTTATTTCCTTTCATATTTATTCCTTCAGATTATTACCATCAGGGATTACATTCCCAAGATCATCGGTCCGGATGCTTTCGAACAATACATTGGTCCGTATCAAGGCTACGATCCCACAATCAACCCAACAGTCACCAACGTATTTTCGACCGCAGCCTTTCGCTTTGCTCACGCTGCAATTCATCCACTGGTGAAGAGGCTGAACCCACGGTATAAGGAAGACCCAACGCTTCCTAATCTTTACTTGCATGAGGCTTTTTTCACTCCCTGGAGACTCATTAAAGAAGGTACTTCTGTAATGCAATTACATCCACTAACATGGCTACAATATTCTTCCTAATTGAAATTTCCTTTCAAAGAAAAGGTTTTGTTTTCATTCCAGTATTGTTCTGACTGCTGAATCATTAGCTGACACATTTTGGTTTCCTGCTTCTAGCTGGTAGAATTAATTACGCACCCTTTTCATTTATGTTGGCTTTTTGAATAAATTTGGCTTGTCAGATGGGTTACAATCCAGGGTGGAATAAGAATATGTGTGTACATACTGCGAGGTGTATATGAAATGTAATCAAAGCTCATACTTTCTGAATTATTTCAATAACTTTTGTTTATTCCAAAGGTCTAGACTAATTTTTTACAGTGTGGTATTACAAACAGAATATCAATAATACCTAAATCCCAATTTACATTGCAGGGATAGGAAACAAAAAAAAAATCCTCCAGAGGTTGCTGGATGTCTTCCGGCAAACCCAACCAGTAACGGTGCAGGTTTTGTGGATAGTAGCTCAGCGAGATCAGAAAGCCTTCACTATGGATATCTTGTTTCTGAAGAGGTCGATATAGTGATCAATAAAGAAGAAAATTTGTAATTCAGAGTTGAAATGAAGGGTCCTTGATGCCCTCTGAGCTTGCTTGTTTTCTTACAGATGTTTCGTTACTCAATCTAGGAAACTAGGGAGCACTGTTACTGGTTGCTAGTAATGAAAGGTCTGCAAGAACAGAGAGCACCAAGGACCCTTCATATATGGTGGCAAAAACAGAGGTGGGATTCAAATT